TTGTTAGATCAAAAAGCATATATCTCAATAGCTCAAGACAAACGTTTGAAAGTCATTTTCTGCATGGCTTTGCCGTGCATTTGGTGTTTTGGTACTGAGGCTTCACATAATCGAAAAACCATCATTATAGAAATCTATCCACTTTCACACCTCGTAGACTATAGACGAGTCTTTTACCCACAACTCGTGCACCCTAATGCATAGAATCTCCGGTTACGTAATTCTGACATATATATGAGTTAGTTATGTGGTTAGCAGGTTGACGTATTATGTTATTTTCCATTTGATGTAAATGGGAAAAAATTTATTATGGGATTTGTAATATTTCGTGTATAGCCGGTTAATTATATATTTGTGTTTCAAAGTGCTACAAAACCACCCCTACGATTTTAAAGTGTTATCCATCCAAATTATAATTAATAATAATGAATTTAAAATTTATAAATTTGCAAAAATTATGCAAATCGTGTTTAAAAATTGTTTACAATGTTAATTATTATTTAATTAAAATAGTTTGTGTGTGTGTTGAACTGAACAGCCTAAAAGAAAACAAGAACTAAGGGAGTACAGGAAAAAAAAATTATCCGGTCATTATGATTATTGGAAATATGGTGGGAAAAAAAGTTTTTATGAAAATGTTATCAAAAAACTTTTTGGTAAACTAAAATATTATCAGAAATATTAACTTATTTTTTTTAGTATGTGTTTGATTGATGATAAAATATTGATGAGAATATGTGATTAATTTATGAAACTAACCCTTGCTTCTCAGTGTTTATGCCCTGTCAATTGACACACTAACAGATGAGGATAAACCTAAGAAATGCTTCAACAGGTAGAGAAAGAAACTCAGCTAAAGCTTTTGACCAAAGTGCCAGACAGATTATAACCAACCCCAAAGACTAAACAACTTCTTCATGACTCCTTTATAACTCAGCAAAAAGAAATTTGTTTGAATGTGACAGGGAACCAAGGAACAGAACTCACCGTCCACAAAACTTGAATGTGGTGTGATGCAACTTGGAATGTCTACGACTCATTTTCTGAACAGAACTCGTCGATTGTTTTTCACTTTGATTAGAAAGCTTGGGCTCAGGGTATTTTTGTCTCAAAAACCATAGACTATTTTCCTACCAAGTGAGATTTGTCAAATACCACTTGGATGGTATTTTCGATTGGGAAAATTTGGCACCAGCATGTGTAAAACAAAATGATGGGATTATAACTTTTTCACACAAATTTTTACTTTTGCTTCTACCAAATATGGAAAAATCAAAATATCTTGTTACTTTTTTCGGAAAATTTTAAATTCTCATGTACCAAACAATCTCTTAAAAAACTAAAGGCATGTTTGATAACTGTTTTAGAAAACAGTTTTTAAATTTTAAAAATAAAAATATTTATTTAACTTTTAGAACTGAAATGACAGAAGACCTTATAGGTGTTTTTATTTTTGTTTTGAGTTTCTATTCTTAAAAGAATTAAAAAATGGAGAACAAGTTGTTCTCATTAATGGCACAATTGTAAATAATGAGTCACTCCCATGTATCAGGTTTTGACACTTGTTTATCGCAATTTGTTTTGGTATATCAATCAAACATATTTTTTGTTTTTTTACGTTATAATCATATTGTTAAAATACATATAACAAACAAGTTTTTTTGTTTTATAATTTTTAAAACTCTTTTAAAAATTAATTTATCAAACAAATTTTTTCTTTTCTAGCTCTGAAAATCAACTCTTGAAAACTATTTTATAAAAGGTTTTATTAATCTCATTTAACATAAGATAGTTATCTTATGTTATAGAGAAAAAATAGGTGGATCCCACCATTACAAGAAAAAATAAAAAAGTTGGGTACGAAAATCGAAGTGAGAGAACATGAGAGAAAATATCTTATGTAAAAGGAGAGTAATATTTCCCTTTTATAAAATAGTTTTCAAAACAAAAAAATCAAAACACTTTCAACAAAGACTAAAATAACCCAGGTCTATTCCTGGTTCTGATCCAAGATCCTAACTTTCAAAATAATAATTAATTTTTTTTATGATCTTCATTATTATTTATGATGTCGATTATATTTATGAGGAGTGAGGGAAAAAATGTGATAGATAGTGAAATTTATGATGTCGTGACTGACGACATTAAACCAATATTAAATTTCAAAAGTGCACCATATCAGTAAAAAAAATTCAAACCACGATAGTATGGTCGGGAGGTTGGTGGAAGGCTGTAAATTAATAAGTTCAAGTTAAATTAAAAGTGAGCTATGTGTAAAATATTTTAAGTCTATCTTAACCTATTAGTTATTTGCTACTAAACTAATAGTAACTAAATTAAAAGTTTAGTCTGCCCAATATTTAAAAATCAAAAGGTCTAGCTTAAATCTATGAGTCTATTTAAACAAATATAAAAAATATTTAATTATTTATTTATTTTATTTTAATTAAAATAAAAAATACACAATATAAATTGATCTATAGATTTTGGACAGGCCTTACAAAAATAAATCTATTGATAATTTCTAAATAAAATTTTTTAAACCTACATTTATTCTATTTTGCTGAATATAATAAGTGAGGTATGATCTAACATAAGTCACAGCTATAGAACTCTGATAAATTTTCTAACCCATTATTTAGACCCCTAAACGGTGGGCTCACACTCACTCAACAATCCGGGGACATCAAAATGGCCGGCAAATTAGCCCAAACTTAGTATTCAAAAAATTCGCACCTGACCTATCTATTACGCGTATGACTTTGGGTAACCCCATTGTCTCCTTGTTATAGATAGTTTGAGTTCAAAATTACTAAAAATTAAAATTATTTGGTTTAAATAAATTGGTTTAAAAATTATTTTTGTATCAAAAACTACTAAAAAAATTAAATTTGATTAAGTTTCATATTTGAAACTCATGAAAGATGAAATGATTTCATATTATTAACAATAATTTATTATCCTTATTTAGAATATCTTAAATAACTGACCTAATAAGAATAAAAGAATCAATTTCAAAAATTAAAAATTTAAAACTAAAACCACATCACATCTATTCAAATCCGACTAAAATCTGAGCAAATTCTTTTATTCGTAATTAAAATTAAAAAGATTATAAATCAAGTCATTTCTTTTTTTAACCTTCGTGAGTAAAATGGGTGTAAGTGAAATTTTAACCCTGTTAGTAAGTGAAATTATTATTCATGAACATGAACATACAAAGATAAATGGGTGTAATAAACATGAACATGAAGTAACATGTTAGAATATTCATGTTATTAAATAAAAAAATTTAGTTTGATTTTATAGTTTAATTTTAGTTAATTGTTAATTAAACGTAATGCAAATTTATATAAATAAAATCGATTTGACAAGAACTAAAAGCACTATTAATTATTGAATTTTTTTAAATAATTAAATATAAAATATCAAACATAAAACGTTTTGTATATAATGCTAATATTAATTATTAAAATTAATGGATGACAATGATAATTATTAACCACTGTTTGTGGAAAAAATTACATCATAATATGTCTACGTAAATAATATATCATTTAGTTGATTGTTAGAATTTTTAAGATATTTTTATATTAATTAATTCATACATGATCTAAATATATTTATAATTTTTTAAAAATTATTCAGAATTAAAAAATTATTTAAATTTTTTTTGCTAATCAGTACTTGTGAAAATGTTAAAAATGCGAATTGAGAATTGTCTATCATTAATGAGTTTTTCTTTTTCCCCTAGATGACTCTGGTATGAAGAATTTCAATCAGAACCCAAAAAAATTGGATTTTATTTCGCATAAAAAGAAGGAAAAAGTATTTCTCCAGTTATTGGAGATACAGTTATCTCCAGTGAGCTCAAAACAATGTCGATTTGAATTTAGAAGATTAAAAAATTATAATGATAAAGACTAATATAACCCTACAATATATTAAAATTACAAAAACACATTAATTTTTGTCCAAAAATGACGTCATTTTGATTTCACCGGAAATAAATTATCCGAGAAATCCTTTACCCATAAAAAAAAAAACTAAGGAAGACAAAATTACGATAAGCAGTTACGAGTCATCACTCATGTCATTAATTGTCTTCCAAAGCCATATTTACAATCTTCCTAACTGCCCGTTTATTTGCACTTTTAAAAAAAATAACTTTTATCTCTTCTTTATTTTAGAAGTTCTTTTTACAAAAGTTAAAGCTATTTATACTTTTATAAAAATATTTAAATTTTGAAAAAAATATTTGGCTTTTGACTTCTGTATTTTTTTAGAAGTTAAAATTTTTAACTTTAGAAGAAAAAAAAAAGTAGGTTTTTGACTTTTTTTTGTGACTCTGTTTTTTTTTTAAAGCATCCATCCAAACGAACTAAAAATAATCGTAATATTAGTAGCTATATTTACGATCTCCCTAAAACTTAATCGTAATATTAGCAACATCAAAAATTAGGTTAGAGATTAACCTTTCCTACACACACAGAAGTCTGTGTGGCCCATGTGAAAAAGAGGAAAACAAAAATATGAGCTCTACATTCTATTGTAGTAATTTCTTTTTCACACACACTACCTCCCAACATTTTTATTCCTTATTTATACACTTCAATTTCTTCTAATAACTTTATATGGTAGCCAGAACAAGAAGAATCTAGAACACAAACTAAAAGATTGTAAGAATCTCTCTCCCTATCTCTCTCTCTTTTTCTCTCTCACTCTATGTTGATAATCACTGATCAGAACCCAGGATTAAAACATTGTAAGAATCATAACAAGCATTCACTATATATCAGTGCTTTGATTATCACTCAAAACTCCAGCTCCAGCCTGGCTTATTGCGAAATCGATGTTCGGAAAACCAAACACCACAAGGAACAAGCGAAAACCCCTCTTCACCCCACTTCCTTATTTGGTTGAAATGACTAGAAACATCTCATAGGTGACTTGGACTCGGAAGTTTAAAGCCTAAACAAGCATAAATTTACGTTCATTGCACTTGAGCAATCAAGAAAAACGAATGTTCACTACTGGTATAACAAGAAGTTTATCTTCACTACTGCTGTGCCAACAATAAGTTAACTAAAGTAATGTCACTTAACATTCGAAATAGGCAAGTTGGTAGCTTACACTGATCAAACTGATAAGGAAATGTGTACACAAAATCATCGGAAGAAATGAAACTCAAGCTAGAATCTGATACCTACGAAAATTAATCTCTGTCTATTTCTTGAGGTGGTTGCAGTTGTGGGCGGGGCACACCATGTCTATGGACTTCAGAGATACTCTGAGAAGCTAAGTACTCCAGTGCAACAACAATATCACCAATAAGTGGACGGAACTTTGGTTGCTCCTGGAGACACATAGCAGTTATAGCAATTGCCTGATGCAAGCAGCGCATGGGGAAGTGTCCTTGCAAAAGAGGGTCAACCATTTGTACAAACTTTCTCCGGTCACTTATAAATGGGCGAGACTGGGAAAAAAGGAAAAGTGTAAGAAAGAAGATTTATATAGATACAATCATCTAGAAAGCTAAAGACATACTGGCATGTCAAAGAATCTTAGGTAAGCGTTACTATAATTTTATGGAGAGGGCAGAAAACATCTTGTTATCAGACGTCAGTGCTTTTGTAATGATAATATATGAGGAATCTCAATATGCCAGTAAAACAAGGAATCACTTGCAAAACAATGAAAAATATAAAAGGGTTTTTTTTAAGAAACAAAAAAAAAAAAAACATTTACCCAGGAAACTAAGTTTTGCTCTCCTGGTCTTTTACCAGCATCTATTGCCCTACGTCCAGTGATCAACTCCAGCAAAACCACACCAAAGCTGTAGATATCAGACTTGAGAGTTAATTTGCCACTCATGGCATACTCTGGCGCACAGTAGCCATATGTTCCCATCACTCTGGTTGAAACATGGGTATTGTCTCCAACAGGTCCAAGTTTAGCAAGCCCAAAATCTGACAGTTTTGGGTTGAATTCGCTGTCTAATAAGATGTTCGCAGATTTCAAGTCTCTATAGATAACAGGAGGATCTGTTTTACAGTGGAGATACTCAAGGCCCCGAGCAGTTCCAACAGCAATCTTCATTCGAACACTCCAACTTAGGGGTTCTTTGTCTTGGTTAAGATCTGAAATGAGTAATGAGTTATAAACTGATTGGCATATTTAATCATATAACTAAAGTTAGTCCCTAAAAAAAATGAAATGAAGGATAAACTAATTTTGGGAAGTTGATGTGAGTCTAGCAGATGATGTTTTCTAACTTAAAAGAAACAAGGAATTAATCATAAATGTGTGAAAATAGTCATTAAATGCAAGAAATATTGATTATTCCTTCTCAATCATGCTCTCACTCAAGTTATATGTTAAATAGCAGGAAACGCCGCAAAAAGGAGCAAAAACGGAGAAACCAAATTTCCCGCTGGCGCACGACGCTCAGAAACTGGCGCACGGCGCGCGGTACCTGGCGCACGAGGCGCCAAATCAACGATTTGCTTCTGTTTCGACCGCACACGGCGCGCGGTAGGTGGCGCTCGACGCTCCAACCTGGCGCGCGGGAGTTGGCGCCCGGGGCGCCGTTGACGGATTCAGCTTCTGTTTCTCCCAAGTTTGAGGCGCCAGGCTTGGCGCCCCCGTGCGTGGGCGATATCATTTTTACTGCGAATCAGCCAAAATAAGGCCCAATTGGAGTATCAGAAACAGAAGAAGAAGGAACTTTTGGAGAATCAAGAGGAGAAAAACAACAAAGAGAGCGGAGATTCCTTGGAGCTTCTCGGAGATTCAAGGATTCGATCGATCAAGACGGAAGATCTTCATCTTCCCTTTCTCTTCTAGGTTTTAAATGCTACTTTATTTTATTGTTATTTTGTCAGACATGAACATGTCTGGCTAGTTTTATCATTGTGGTAAGGGTCACAACCCTTGATGTGAACCCCTTGTACCTTGGTTGAAATTTATGTTTATCTATTTTAATTGAGTCTATCTTTTCTTGTTCTTCATTTTATAATTCTATTGGAACTGATCAATCTAGTAGGATTGCGAGGGTTAGGGTTTTCGATGGGGATGTTGGAATTCTAATTCCTGACAAAGAATAAGATAACTGTTCATGTACGCACTAGGGATAGGCTACCTGAACAGCGAACGTTAAAGGTTCATTGATTCTAAGGGTTAACTCGAAAAGGGATTTCTAAGGGATTAGGATTCTAATAGAGTTGACAAGGTTAAGATCATTAAGGGATTAGAGCTTAACTAATCATATAAAAGATGATGAATTGTTCGATCAATTGAATAGGTAAATGTAAACGTAATCCAAGTTGCAAGGTGAGGATCGGAAAGGTGTTTGTTTCTCTTTACCGCAATATTTTCTCAAATATTTTCTCCATCCTTAATCTTTTGTTCTTGCATTCTGAAAGCACTTTTGGAATCATTTACATTTTTCCTTTAATTGTTTTAGTTTATTTTATAAACCACAATTGCTCTCAACCTATTTTGATTAATCCAACAAGAGAGGAATAATTATAACAACTTAGGTGCCTCAATCCTCGTGGAGACGATACTCTACTCACTCTTTATTACTTGGTACGATCGGTGCACTTGCCGATTTTACGCATAAGATGTATTTTAAGAAGCATCCCTAACAACGTAACCTAACCAAAACTAATATGTTACTTCTCATAAACTTGACATTTAGCCCAAGATATTTATTTTCTTAAAATTTTACTACATACCAACCTACACAAAGCAACTGTGATCTCTTTTGGTAAGTATAGAATCAGAATCATCTAAGTTCAAAACAACTCCTACTGAAAAACCATAAGCTACTTAGGGCCCCTACACTAAATAGTTAAACCATGAAAGAAGAATACAAACGGTGAAGGTGCTTTTCTCAAAAAATTTCATCTTCATTAGAGGGAGAAAAAAACCTTTTTCTTTCTTCTCAAGGCCTGTACTCATTTATATATTGCATACATATTGGCAAATCATAGGCATTGTTGTCATTGACAAAACTTAGAAATCAACGAGTGCAATTGTTTCTTGCCATACTGGAATAAGTTTATCAGCACAACATTCCTCACACAGTCAAGCCATAGACCAGGTTCCAGTCAGTTCTATTGTTCAATTTCTATTTAATCACAAATAATCTTTCATTGAAGATGAAAGTGGACAAAAGCTATTCGTTTTATATAGATATTTATATAGATATACTCCATTTGCTATACCCATTCATATATTGCATACATATTGGAATAAGTTTATCAGCACAACATTCCTCACACAGTCAAGCCATAAACCAGGTTCCAGTCAGTTCTATTGTTCAATTTCTATTTAATCACAAAGAATCTTTCATTGAAGATGAAAGTGGACAAAAGCTATTTGTTTTATATAGATATACTCCATTTGTTATACCCATTCATATATTGCATACATAATGGCAAATCAGGTACATTGTTGTCATTGACAAAACTCAGAAAGCAATGAGTGCAACAGTTTCTCGCCATACTGGACTAAGTTTATTGGCACAACACTCCTCACACAGAATAAGCCATAAAACAAGTTCCAGTCAGTTCAATTTTCCAGAAAAGATATACTCCATTTGTTAAGCTTGTGGTTAATGGGCACAGAATATCAATAGAAAACACATGATATATATCCAAATTTAAAAACAAGCTTGCAAGGCTAACACAAATGAACTATTTTATCGGCAAGTAGAAAGTCTGAAATGTGCACAGTTGCATAAGAGTCTTGATAAACTTCTTATCATAAACAAATGTTAACAAATATTGAGCCGTGCATAAATTAAAGACACTTATCCAGATAGAAGGTTCAAGTTCATAATACTTCCTCCAGCCAGAGTTGTGATTTAAGTTAAATATAAATGTATGGTTAGAAAACCACAATAAAAGATAAAGTATCAAGTCAAATTACATCATAGGTGCTACTAAACGTAAACATAAAAAAGAAAGCACACAAAAAATATGAGGTTACCGAAAAGATGATCTTCCAGGGAACCCATAGGCATATATTCATAAACCAAAAGCCTTTGATCTCCATCAGTGCAGTATCCAATTAACTTAACAAGATTAGAATGATGGTGCAGGCTTAACATAAGAACCTCCATAACAAATTCCTGAAAACCTTGATGACCATCATGACTTAATTGTTTTATGGCAACAACCTGGACATAAATGTTTTTTAGACAAACAAAAATCATAAAAATAAGACCACGGAAATATTCAAATGACCAAAATCCTACAAATCAGAATTAATTTATTTTTATTTTTTTATAAAGAAATCAATCAGTAAAACTTGCCTCGCCTGTTGGGAGACGACCCTTATAAACCCTTCCAAAACCACCTTCCCCAATCAAGTTCACTTCCTTAAAACCCTTTGTTGCCTCTGCAAGCTCTCGAAAACCAAAACTAGCTGCTGCCTTATTATTGCTTTTGCTACTGCTCCCTGACTCCGAGCATTCTTTCTTCCTTTCACCCTCTGCACACCCAATAATTAAATTTAAATTACAAAAAAAAAAAAAACATTATGTGACAATTATTTCAAATCTTAATAGAATTTAATAATAATGTATATAATAATATGCATTCGCAAACCCTTACCAGTAGAGGCAGCAGCTTTCACTCTCCCATCCCCTGCAAAATTCATAGAGAAACGTCAACATTGAAAAAAAAAAATTAAAAAAAAAAAATAGAGCATAACAATTAGCAGAAGCAAAAGGAAAAATTGACCTGTAGAAGTAGTAGTAGATCGAGAGCCATTATCAACTTCGACTCTGCTGACATCTTTCCGACCAGAAAAAAGACAAGAAAAACAGCTCATCTCTTTTCTTTTTTTTCAGAATTTAGATACCCTCAGTTCTCAGTTCTCACCCAAATCACACAAGAGAAATTTAATATTATTTAAATTAAATAAACAATTAAAAAAAATCTGTATCCCGAGTCAATCAGGGAGAGGATCTGGAATTCCCCCTCTCTAGACCCGAGAGATCAAATCAAAGAACCAATTTCCCAAAACTGCTCTGTTTTTTTATTTACGGAAAATGTAGATACCATTACCAACGTATGTAGTAAATACAAAATCACTCAAAATTAAAAAGAATGAAAATAAAATTGACAATGCACAATCTGCATTTGTGTTTGTTAGTCCACGCCTCTTCCAGCACAGCACAAACTGGATAAAATAAAACTCTAATTTAGCGGAACGGACTCGATGCGTCCAAATTAGCCCATCGATAAATATATATTTTTTATTTTTATTTTTTTTCTTTGGTTTTAAAATTTTATAAAGTTTAATAAATGAGTATTTGTGGGTCTTTTCATTTTCTTTCTTTCTTTTTATTTTTGTCAGTTTATTTTATTTTATCATTTATTCGATTTCCACTTTGGTTGCATTAAATTGTCTGTGCGTGATTGCTGCGAGTCGCTCTCCGTCCTTCCCGATCAGTCTTGTGCACATTTATAAACGTTACGGTCCCAGCTATCATAGCTCTCTTTTTGTTTTCCTGTTCTACCCTTTTCGATTTCATTTCATCGCATATTCGCATGGCCATACGAATCCAACCGTTTGCAAAAGTTAATGATTCGATCGTATTTGAACTTTCGGCAACCACTGGTCAATAAAAAGACCGTTACATCTTCTTAAAATTTGTTTCTATAATTTTTTTAGTTATTCGAAGAAAATATATATAAATGATGAGGAAGATTATACTTACAACTTCTTTTTTTACAACATCTTACAACTATATCTTAACACTGTTGATTTCTGCCAATCAACGGTTATAATTTTCGCAAATTAAATTCATTAATTAATTATTAATTCACGGTAAATGATAACTGTTGATTGACGAAAATCAATGATGTTAAGATATATTTGTAAGAGATTGTAAGAAAAAGATTGTAAGAATTTAAACCAAAAACAAAAATTGTAAGTATAACATTCGTCGTAAAATTTAGAATAATAAAATCCTATTTTAGTTCGAGTAAAAAAACAATTTAAACAAAGTATATATTTATATAATATTCTTTAAAGGTTTACAAAATAATATTTTATATATTGAATTTCTTAATAAGATGATATTAAAATATTCAGAAGACAGCTTAGATGTAAAGGAGAAAATTAATTATTAAAACAATCAGATCTAATTAATAAAATTTTAAAATGAATTATATTTATTTCCTAAAATTAAGGAATATGATATCCGTATTAAAATATAAGATTGACACAGAAAAGTATAATAAATGGGGTTTTCCTTAAGATGAAAATAATAAATCATTCGTAAATGAAAAGGGTATATTTGATAATTAACATGACAATTGAAATCTCTATTGCGATATCAATGTAATAAATGATATTTTATAATGATATTTCATGTATTCAATTTCCCAATTTAGATTAAAATATAATTGACAATTTAGCTTAAAATATATGCAATACAATTTAGATGTAAAGTATAAAACTAATAATATAATTGACAAAATATTAAAATTGATCTCATTTAATCCTAAGATTAATAGATTTGATATCTCTTTAAATATATGATTCTGGGGAAGGTTATACTTACAACCTATTTTCGTTTACAACTTCTTACAACCATATCTTAACCGTTGATTTTCGTCAATCAACGGTTAAGATTTTTTCAAATTAAATTTATTAATTAATTATTAATTCATAATAAATGACAACCTTTGATTGACGAAAATCAACGGTTAAAATATAATTGTAAGAGTTTGTAAACTACTTGAGTTGTAAATATAACCCCTCCCATGATTCTGTTTCTGTATTAATTCTGCATGAAAAGTATAACAACGGTGATAAATTTTCGCTCAAACAAAAACATGATAAATCGTATTTAAACTCAAGCTAATATATATATGAGTTTTATTAATCTCCTTTTACATAAGATAGTTATCTTATGTTGTAGAGAGAAATGGGCGGGTCCCACCAATACAAAAAAAAAAAAAAATGGGTGCGAAAATCGAAGTGAGAGAAAATGAGATAAGTTACCTTATGTAAAAGGAGAATAATATTTCCCTATATATATATAATTCTCAATATTAATTAATTATTAATTAACAATAAATATCAACCGTTAGATGCACAAAAATCAACGGTTAGGATTTGGTGTAAGACTTGTTATTCTTACACCAGTATAACAAGTCTAACGGTGGAGATTTTCGTGCATCTAACAGTTGAGATTTATTGAGAATTAATAATTAATTAATTAGTATTGAGAATTATATATTAATTAATATATATATATATATTCATATATATAGAGCCAGGGTCATTTTACATATAATAAGTCTTACTTCAAATCTTAATCATTGATTTTTGTGCATCTAACTATTCAGATTTATTGGATTCTATTAGGGTGTCAAAACGGGTTGACACGACACGAATTCGACATGACATAAATACATCAACACTAACACGACACGAATTTTTATTCGTGTCAAAATCTTCAACACTGATACGACACGAATAACACTCAAAATAGGGGTCAAAATGGTAATTGACAAAAAAAAAATAGAAAAAAAGGATCGATATTAAAAAAATTAAAAAAATAATAATAATAAAAAATAATTTTAAAAAAATACGGGTCGACACGAAGACCCGTATTTTTTTGCGGGTAAACCCGAACACGAATTTTTGTGTCATGTCGCGGGTCGACCCGCGTGTCAAAACCTATATTGACACCCCTAGATTCTACGCATTAATTAATTATTAATTTTTAATAAATCTCAACCATTAAATGCACGAAAATTAACCGTTAAAATTTAACGTAAGATTTGTTATGCTTATACCGGTGTAAGTTGATCTTATCCATATATATATGTGTGTGTATGTGTGTATGATAGGGTCATTTGATATCGGTGTCAAACTTTGAAATTTGACACTAAATCCTAATCTTTGATTTTCATTTATCAACGATTATCATTTATTGAAAATTACTAATTGATTAATAAGTTTGATTCACACTTTGGTTGGCATAAATCAACAGTTAAGATTTGGTGTCAAAATTTAAATTTTGACACCGCTGTCAAATGATTCTGTCCTTCTATATATGAGAAAAATATTTCTAAAAAAACTTGAGATATATTTATCTCCGGTCACCCAAACATTACGTCGTTTTGTTTATTTATATACTTAAATTAATTGATTCACATTTGAATGAATGGTTATGATTTATTTTTCTTTATCTTCCTTTATGACCGTTGATCTATACTTGTCCTGTTATAATTTAGTAGCCAGAGATAAAGTTATTTCAAGCAACTTAGGAAACGAGAGCCATATATATGTATATATAGTAGGGTTATATTGACAAACATTTTTTTTAGAAACTATACTGTGTCTGACCGGTAAGATATAGTATAATTTGTAAACAAATTTTTTGTAAATATAGCATTTCCCATATATGTATATGGGAAGGGATCATTTAATTCCAGCATAAGACTTTTAATTAGTCTTACCCTTTATATTAACCGTTGATTTTTGTCCATCTAAAGTTTGTTATTTATTTAAAATTAACAGTTAATTAATTAGTATGATTCAATAAACTAAATTGTTAGATGGACGAAAATTAACGGTTAAAATATAAAGTAAAATTTTTAAATCTTGTTCTGAAATCAAAAGAAATTTTTTTTATTTATTTATTTATATATGTATATATATATTAATTGTTTATAGAATTATCTCGTATAAAATGAACTAAATCGTTTTGTATGTGATGATGGCTAAGAATTTGGTAGTGATCAGCATGCTACTTAATTAGTGGTGTTTTCACACCACGGTAGTTTGTCATTGCACCTATTTTTTTATTTTTTTTTACTAGTCACGCTACTCACTATTTCGTAGCCCTGAATCCACAAAAAGCCACTAACGCCCGGTTGGTAGCAGGATATTTTTTGTTTTCCTAGAATTTTTTAGTTGGGTAAATAAGAATATATTGTTTGGTACATGATTTTTAAATTTTTTCCGAGAATGTGATTTTCTCTTGGATTTTCTTTTGTGTGTACATTTTTTTGAAAAAACAATTCAGAAATACTATTTAGAAGGTGGTATTTTAAGATTTTTATGGCATGAAAAAATTTAATACAACTAAACACATCATCAACAAAATTAATCCAATATTTTCAGAAATATGTTAGTTTACCAAACAACTTTTTGGTAACATTTCCAGAAAATTCATTTTCTCATCATTTTCTTGAAAATCGTGATTTTCGGATAAAAAAAAAAAATCTCCTGTACCAAACGCCCCCTAAGGTACCAACCACCAGTTACATAGAATATTCTTTAACATATATATGGGTTAATATTTTTTCATTTTACATAAGAAAAGATTCTTTTGTTATATATACAATTAAAATGTGGGTCTTATCTTTCTTTTTTGTCTTTTCACTTTTTTATGGAGCCCACTTATGTATTAAGTGTGTAGCATGAAAAAAATTTCTTATGTAAAATAAGAAAATTAATTCTATATATATATATATATATATATAGATATATATTTCATTTTAATATTTTTTCTATATTTTTCCAGTATTTGAAAATTTAGAATGACAAGAGATTTTTTCCTGTTCTCATTTAAACTTTTTGCATATTAATATAAGTTCTGCCATAATTAAATTATTTGCATATTTCTCTAAATACAAATATTCGTACCAGGATAATTGAATCGCCTCTGATAAATCAATTAGCAAACCAAGAAAAAATATGTTAAAAAGAGTATAAAATAATACATAACAAGCAATATAATCTAGTATCTTTATTCTCGCTATATGAGTCTACTATGGCTGATTTATTATTCAAAATGGACGATGCGAAAATAACATACCATATAATGAAATATTTAAAAAGATTTGAAATGAGGAAGGAAGTAGTGTTTATGCAATAATTTTTCCATACTAAACTGATATTCTCAATGATGCCATATTTTTCGTCACTAATAACGTTAAAGCATTCTGGTGAATAGTCGTCCGTCTCACTCACATTGATTAGTTACTTGTTTTTTTTTTTTTTGGACACCAAAAAAAAAGCGGATTTTGGATAGAAAAAAGAAAGAAAGAAAGAAAAATACACTGATTCAGGAAAATTTTAAAATTTTTATGGACAGTGTGCTTGACTTTATTCAATATAAACACAAGATATTTGAGACTACGAGACGATTGAAATTAAGGAAAGTAGCATCATCCAGTATCATTTTCTATCGCTAATAATATTTTATTAGTCCTCATATTTTAAATATATATTTTTTTAACTTTTATTTTATATTTTTAATATTTTACAACATATACACAATGTTTGGTGTGATGTATAAAGCATGATAATATAAGCTTATATTATACTTTATGACATTTTTAATTATTTGGTATATCATCGTATAGTATAAACTTATTCAGCAGGATCACTTTAAACATCAATACGATGTATAACTTTAGGAGGATATAATTAGCCCTGATAAAGGATTGATGTATTAACTAATGCAATTCTCAAGAATTAATATCTTATTTTAATATTAATATATTAAAATAAAAATGACTTTTCAATATATAAATTTTTAAAATATTAGAGATTTTTATTTTTAAGAAAATTAATATATTTTTTGGTCACATTAATCAATAGATTTATATAAAAATTAATATTGTCTAATAAATTTGGAAGAATTATATAAATTTATTATTAAAAGATATTTTTGTCAAAAATATTATTTTTATACTATCTCGTATTATATAATGCATTATCAAATATTAGATTAGATGATATTATCTTATACAATATATTATCTTATATAATACCCTACCTCAATTCAGATTTTATGTAATCAGGTGAGTCAGGTATTATATTATAAAATCTTATGCTATCATATCCTTATCACATATACATACATATATTAGGGAGTGAATCCTCTCATGTGTGATTATGTTATTTGATTACAATCACTCATTAATGATGAGATAAGAGAGAGAAAAATATATAATTTTAAAATAAGTAATTGTGATTATATAACATCATCATCAGATACCACTTTTTTCAGACGAGATGATCCATGATCCATTCCCCATATACTATGTAACAAACATTTCAAAGAATACCTTTGTGTTTGCCACAATTTGGTTGGCCATTTTCAACTCCACGTGCCATACGAAGAGATGCGTCGTGCTGAAGTTAAAGTATAAAAGTACAGACGCAGCCCAATGCAAGAATAAACGAAGATGGTGCAAGCACGTAAAGGTCGCGCGACATAACCTTACTCATGCAATGGAACCAGAAAAGTCGGCTACAAATCCTCGTCTCTGTCTATTTGATTTGTCTCTCTCTCTTTTCTCTCTCCAGATCTCGCTCATAGATCAACAGAAACACAAGATGCGCACCCACGCTCTCAATCCCACAATTAGTGTAAGGTATGTCTGTATCTTCTATTTATGAAATTCTATATCTGAAACGAACAAGAAATTCTCCAAACATTCTTTGACAAACACTTTACTATAGAATATGATCCTTAATAAGGAAAAAGCTTTAATTATTCTCCAATATCCTTTTATTTTCTCCACCACAACATTTTCTGTTTCTTCCATTCCAATTCAAATATTAATAATTTAATATTGTAACGCAATACTTTGGTTTTTTTTTTTTATCAAATTCCTCAGGAAAATCATGAGGCGGAGACCCCGCACCACCTTCCTTCTCTCCTTCTTCGCCATCCTTCTATTAGCTGCATTTTCCCTTCATCTCTCTCGCAATGCCGTTTCAAGTTGGAGACCACACTCCGACGTTGATAAAAGTCCCAGGAAGTTAAACCCAATCAACGCTGTCGCCAAGCGGCAGCAGCAACAACAACAACAACATCGTCAACGACTTCAACCGTATAAAACGGCGCGTATCCTCCATCGACTCCAAGGACTCCATACCCAGCGTTTCCGTTCTGCTACCTGATTGGGAGATTCTCGTTATTGTCTCACCAAACACGACCTTATCTTCCGATGAACAACACCATTGTTTTTTTCACAACAATGCCAAGTCTCCGGCGAAGTACTCCGGGGTCTTGCCCTTCACCAACCGGACCACGTTCAAGTGTGACATGCCGGAATCAGTTCGGCGCCGTCGCATTTTCCAGCAGCCCGTGTTGGTGACGTCGGAAAATGAATCCACGGATCCTTCGCCGGCGCCGGAACTCATGAGGTGGAACTTTCTGGTGTACGAGTCTTTCTCCACGGAGGACGACGTCGTTTTGTTCGCGAAAGGGGTGAACCATCGCCAGGGGTATGACAGGTCCCCTAAGGAGCTCCGCTGCTTGTTCGACTTGGGAGACGGCGTTCGCATCCGTAAAGCCGTCACGAGCTCCGTGCAAGAGGTTTTCCGATGCCCACACCCGGATCCGTCTGAATCGGGTTCGGATTCTGTTTACGGAATCTCCCTCGAGATAATTGGGGAAAACCTCGTAGTCCCATCCGTGGCGTATTACATTCCCAGGCCCATGACAAAGCCCAAGCCCAAGACCAATTCTATAGCCTTGGTGTCAGAGGCCCAGTCCAAACATTTCTTGTGTGCTTGCACTATGGTTTACAATGTGGCAAAATACTTGAGAGAATGGGTTATGTACCATTCGAAGGTAGGTGTGGAAAATTTCGTATTGTACGATAATGGCAGCGATGATGATTTGGAGGGCGTGATCAAGGAGCTACGTGCAGAGGGTTACAACATCAGCACTTTGTTGTGGATTTGGCCTAAGACCCAGGAAGCTGGTTTCTCTCACAGTGTTCTATACTCCAACTCCAAGGGATTATGCACGTGGATGATGTACGTTGACGTTGACGAATTCGTATTTTCACCATCTTGGGGAGACGGGAATTTACGTGATAAAAAACACGAGTTTCCTTCGTTGAAACCCATGTTGACACAACAGGAAAGTCAATTGCAACGAGGAAAAGAGAGTACTAGGATCGGACAAGTGTCGATCAGGTGCTTGGAATTCGGGCCGTCGGGTCAGCGGCAGCACCCGGTGGAAGGAGTGACGCAAGGGTACACGTGTCGGAGGAGGGTGGAGCAGAGGCACAAGTCGATAGTGTTGGTGGATGGGGTGGACCCAAGTTTGTGGAATGTGATACATCATTTTAAGGTGAATGAGAAGGAGGGGTTCAGGTCGAAGCAGTTAAACATGGAGGAGGGGTTGGTGAATCACTACAAGTACCAAGCATGGGATGAGTTCAAGGGCAAGTTCCGAAGGAGGGTGTCTGCGTATGTTGTGGATTGGACGCAGTCTGTGAACCCAAAATCTAATGATAGGACACCTGGGTTAGGATTCGAGGCAATAGAACCCAAAGATTGGACACAAAGATTCTGTGAGGTTAGAGATCAAAGGTTGAAGTCATTGACCCGAGCATGGTTCGGATCCAACGGCCACAGAATGGCTTGGCAAACCAGCTGATTTATTCATTTCTTCATTCCTTCATTGGTATGGTATTACAGTTTACATTAGCTTTTTTTGGTGGGGAAGTCCAGAGGTACAGATTCAATTTACATAGGAAAACTTGAGTAGTAACAAGTGGCTTGGGAGGATTTCATATTACTCTTTCCGTTGCGTTTGGTGGAGAGGATAAAAAAATTTTATCCGGGAATCTCGATTTTCAGAAATATAATTTTTACATTCAGTTTGTTATAATATCCGAAAATTTAAAATTTAAAAAAATTTAATTTCCCGAAAATTCCGAAAAATATCTTGTAACAAACGTCTCCTTCTATTTTCTTATTTCACTTTTTTTTTGACACGTGGAATAGAATCCTTGTTATCTTCAATCATTGTTTTGTTCCATTTTGGATCAATGTCACATTTTGCCCCTCCTATTCTTGATAATGAGGCGAATTTTCTCTCTGTATTCCACCAGATTTTGTTCTTCTCGTTAAATTTTGAGCCACGCTCTCTCCCTCTGAGTCTCAATTGGGACGTGCGTTAATTAAATAGCTTACCACCACTTCTTTTTTCCTTCGCTATTATTAATTAGTAATGGTGACTATTTTGTCATATTTATATAACGTGAAACATGCATAGATCAAGCGAATACATCACAAATAGGCAGTCTACGAAATACAATGTCAATAAGATATACTATTTAATTAGAATCAAATTTACTTCAGTTGTTGCAGGACTTTTAAGGCCCATTTGGATGAGCTTTTTTTTTTCTTCAAAAGTTGTTTTTTTTCAAAAAAAAAAACACTTCTCGTTTTTAGTTCGTTTGGATGTCTCCTTCTAAAAAAAGGAGAAGTCACATAAAAAGTCAAAAACCTACTTTTTTCAGAAGCTAAAAATTTTAACTTCTAAAAAAAGCAGAAGTCAAAAGCCAAATATTTTTTTCAAAATCAAAATATTTTTATAAAAATATAAATAGCTTTAACTTTTGTAAAAAATACTTTTGAAATAAGGAAGTGATAAAAATTACTTTTTCTAAGAGTTTAAACAAACGACCTCTTAATGGCTAAAAAAAAAAAGTAACTCGTTTCATAATCTACTTCTATTTAATTTGTCTGTTTATGAGTTTACAGTCTTTTTCAACTTAATAAATATTGCAGAATCAGACGGTGGAAGTCCACATTATTTTAAATTTCTTAATTCGTACCCTTGAAATTTTTTAGAGAAAATGTAAACCTAACGGAATTAAAAAAAAACAAAAAAACAATTATGTCCCCCACCTTAAGCACCAGGATAAAACCCTAAACCAAAGTAAAATAAATATTTTTAAGATAATGAGTAAGGTTATATTTATAAATTTTTTGTTTACAAACCTTAAAAATTATATTATGTATTCTCGGACTCGATCAAAAATGTACTTTCAGGAATATATAGTGTAATTTATAAATAGAAAAATTTATAAATGTAACATAACCTACCCCTAAGATAATACCTTAAAACAAAAGAAACTTCGTTTTGAAATAAACATTTTACTATTGTCTATTTGTATTTTGAAGTCAAGTAAAGCAACTGAGTATAAACAGTATATATGGATAAACAACGCCTATATTTCTGTTTCCCGATATTGGTATGACATTTGAATGTAGAGAAAATAGACTTACATGAAATTATTGTCACTCTACGTGGTGCTAGCACGTGACACATGCATTAGATTTATTGTTGTTTTAATGGCGGTGCAAGTCCACGTGACATAACAGTGCCATGTGCGGTGATGAAGCATCAGGGCTGTTTACATAGCATGAAAAGAAATAAAAAGGGAATAGCTAACACAGCTAATATCACCCCAAACCATTACTGTGTTTCTTGTTAATCATAATTTGAAAATTTGTTTTTGAAAAATGCGTTGTTTGGTCAAAAAGCAAGCCGACTTAGAATGTGTTTGGATGAGTTTTTTTTGAAAGAATTTATTTATTTATTTTAAAAAAAATTCCTTTTACATCATTTTATGTGTTTGGATACGAACTTCTAAAAAAAAAAAAAATTAAAATAAAATAGTACTTCTTATAGAAGTTATGACTTCTTGCTTCTGCAAAAAAACAAAAGCTAAAAGTCAAATAGTTCCTAGAGTTTCTCTCAATGCATTAAACACGAGTACCTTGCATTATTATCTCGAGAACCCATGAATTCGATAATATCAAACAAAAGATGAGGAAAAACAGATAAACAATGAATTCGGAGCAAAACAGTTCCAATAACGCATGCACTCAGAGAAGAAACATTCTGTTAATAAGAAACAATTCACTACCACAAACAACCACCTTTTACGATAATAATGAGAATCATGAATTCGCATTAAATCCAAACGAGAGAGAGAGAAGGATTCTAGAGGTTTGAAGACTTTTTTACTCTTATAACCCTTTATTATTAATTAATTACCGATTTGACCTTGATTATAAACTATTTCAAAAATTTAACCCTCTCAAAAAACATAACATCAATCTGCCCCTGTTTGACCGTTGACCACCAAGCCTACCCGGGTACACCCCTCTGTACTCGGGTATTTTTTGAAAATTTTTGTCTACCCGGGTAGGGAGGCGTGTACCCGGGTATTGTTCTTCGCACCTGAGAAATTGCTTGAATTATTTACCCAGGTAGAGAGGGGTGTACCCGGGTAAATCTTCGACCACCCGGGTATGATTACTCTTTGGATCTCCCATGCACTCTTCTTCTCCAAGCTTTGAATATGGAGGCACCCACTATCACATGCTCCGCCTCTGCAACTTTTTTGGGTCTGTAAAGCACACAAATATTTTTCAATGATTATTTTAGAAAGGGAATTCTCAGTTAACACTATAAAAGTAGACCCCATCATAATCGATACGAACAGGAACCGCTTTGATGAGCAGTAAAGTGTTGATGTATGGAAATTCCAAATCCATTCTCAAAGCTAAAAGCTCTTCAAATTGGTTAGGCATGCTTAACTTGATAATACTGATCTATCTCATTAGCTGTAAAAAAGAGAGAGAGAAAAAATTACCATGAAACAATTAATTACACATCCGCAAATATAATTAACTTGTGGTAAAATCAAATAAATCATATCTGTTCTTATATCCATCAGCTACAAGTTGCCCCAGTTATAGCAAGTACCAAATGGGTGGTCGAAGATTTACCTGGGTACACCCCTTCCTACCCGGGTAAATAATTCAAGCAATTTCTCAGGTACGAAGAACAATACCCGGGTACACTCCTCCTTACCCGGGTAGACAAAATTTTTCAAAAAATACCCGGGTACAGAGAGGTGTACCCGGGTAGGCTTGGTGGTCAACGGTCAAACAGGGGCAGATTGGTGTTATGTTTTTTGAGGGGGTTAAATTTTTGAAATAGTTTATAATCAAGGTCAAATCGGTAATTAGTTAATAATAAAGGGTTATAAGGGTCAAAAAGCCTAGCTTTGAATGTTAAAAACTACGCAAATATATATGGAACTGAAGTTGCAGTGCAACCACCACTTTGGGCAATTGCCTGTTTTCATTGTTATATTGGCTACATTGAATACGCAGAATACGGAAGTAAAAGGAGGTTGTTAGAAAAATAAAAGGTGGAGAAAAATAACTTTTAATGAAATATTCAACATTTATGTCACAATAACACAAGTCAAAAAGACTTCGCCGATCCCAATTGAACTTAAGACCTTGATGAAGTAGCCTACATTCATTATGAAATCAAAAACTATATATAAAAAAAAGGCTCTGCGTATTACAGCTTCTTAAATCAAATAAAAGAAAAGTTAGATTTAAATCCTCCTACGTTATTTACTAATTAACATGACAATATCATATTATAAGAAACAAATCTCACAAAACCTCCGACCGTGTGTATAAAAAATACTTTATTGATAGAGGCAAAATCCACTTCGGTGATCTCTAAGCCTCGAAAGAATTAGTCTTCGTCTATCAGCTGAGAAATACCTTGAGGAAACTCAAAGAAATAGACAAAAGTAATTGTAGTAAGATTTATAATTAGTTGACTAATGCTCATTAAATTATCTCTCGTGTCTTTTTTTTCTCTCTCATAACATTGTCATTTAGTAAATAACATGAGAGATTTCAAATCTGAAAAATAATATACTATCAGAGCTGCAATGCCAAATTTGGCTGCAGTTGAGAACCAGACTCCACATTGGAACTAGGTGAATTTGTTGTTCCAATGTTCCCATTTAAGTCATTAGCAAGTAAAAAGGAATTCTGTTTTGTGGGAACTTGCAATCCCTGCCAAGATGATTTTCCCGCAAGGCCTTGAGACAATCTTTGCGACTCAAATCCAGATTCCCAGGCCAATAAATTACTGGAGTCTGATTGGCTTAACTTGTTTAAGAACTGGGCCTTAAAAGGAGTATTAATATTTGTAGGTGCAACGGGGCTGGTAAGGCTGCTTAGGTGATCCATGTCAAACATTTGAGGAACATTCCCCCCACTCGGCGACCCAGTTAAGTCAGCAAGTCTTACCATCTTCATTTGAGATGAAAAATTAGAACCTAACTGACCATTTGAACCAAAATCATCAGAGTGCACCATGGGTTCCCGCTGATTCCTCAAAGGAGTCATGGATTCTATTCCACCACTAACACTGTTGACTGGATTCAAGTCATTTTGGTAATTCAATTCTCTATTTATTACCATGTCTCCACTTCGCAAGCATGATCTATTTGCAAGAGGGAACGATCCAGATGGAGAAGGAAATCTACTTTTATAATCCTCTGGTACAGTGGGGTCTGAAGTTCCCTCCTCATCATAAACTGGGAAGTGTTGCTTCTGTGACACTTCATCTTCACCTACCCATCCAGGACCAAATTCATGTCCTATTGGCAACACACTACTGATTTTCCTTGCAGCAATCTTCCAAACAATAGGACCAAGATCTGCAGCAAAATGAGCTAGGCTTCTTGCATAGCTATGCTTCGCATGTAAACCTACCTGATATTTTTTTAAAAGAAAGAAGAGAACGTAAGTTATGTAACCAATAAAAAAAAAAATCTTAGAACAGACTGAGCATGAGGAACTAAAAGCAACCTAGAGACTATAGAAGGTTTTCAAACTATTATAATTCATAAAAGACATTTGCCTAACTTGCTTTCAAGTTTTCATTCTCTCGTTGAAGAAAACAGGAAAAAGAGAAAAGGGAAAAAAGAAGTTCGTACTGCAAGAAGTTGCTTGAATTCATCTTCAACTGCGGCCAATACTGGTGGTGGTTTATTTCCTACAGCAACTGGATTTTTGTAAGTGTCACGCCTGGTCTCATCGACCATAAACTGCTTCTTTCCATACCTTAACACAGCTTTTACAACAGAAGCTGCAAGCAAAATACATAATTAAAGGAATCATTCCAATAAACAAAGGCATTTGTTTGAGCCTGGTTGAATCTAGAAGGAATTGGCAAAACACTGGGAAGGTGTACATATAGATACTACTGACCAGGAAATTCATTCTCCCATTCAGACGACCAACTAGTATAACCTCCACTGTTAAAATTGCTGTGGGATGCCCTGGCTGATGAATCTGTAGGCTGAAATTTGCTTAGTGCTTTTCTTAGATTATAACCACTGGAAGCACAAGCAATATCCCCAGCAGAAGCAAGAGTTGCATCAGAGGAAGATTCAGGACCAACACGTTCTGAAGGAGACATGCCCAGTGGCTTTCTTGTGTGCTTGCCTGGTGGCCTTCCTCTCTGCACAATTTTGGGTTGTGGTTCACTATCATCATCACTATCTTGTCTCAGATTCTCAAAGTCCTTCTGTGCCATCTCTTGCATTGCTCGGGCCTAAGAAAAGGGACTTAACTTAAAACAGACTTAACAAAAATCAAAAAAAGGGGATTAAAACAATTTACTTCAAGTTCAGACTTCACCCAACCTGTCGATAGTAAATAGTATCTGGTGAATTATATTGCATCGCATTAGAGCATATCAAGAGCATGTCCTTCTGCAAGAATGAAGCAGCAGTGTGTTTCAAAGATTAAATCAGAAGTACATAAAATCCAAACCTTCCACTAAATAGCCTGAAGTACCACAAAGGTGTTTTAAATTAATTAGTGCAAATCTTATAAAGAGGGCAACATGGCGAATAACACTCATCAATTGGGCTTACAACGATGTCAGACCAAACAATGAGACAATACGAATGACTTATTGAACCAAACAGATTACATATCAAGAATGACATTCCTCAATTAATGCAACTAGAGCACGTAAAATGTAATACGTATCAGTTTGTAATATATATTGATTTCCCACTAAACAATTTTTCTAATCTTACCTATTGCACTAGATCGCAAAAACCTCTTAATACCTACTCTGCCAACCTTCTATATAACTATCAAACACACAGCAGGAACAGTTTAGAAGTATTCTGATGCTATAGATACATTACAGGTGACCTATCAAAGGTGTCAAATAAAGGCTAAAGGGAAGGAGATAAGTTTGTTCACTTGGATGATGGAATAAGGCAATTGTTCATAAACGCTAAAGGCTGAAGTTACCAGGCAACGTGACAGTATTAGTTACTCATCAAGAATCATGAAATTGGCATTTCATGCAACATTATCTGAAAATGATAGTTCTTTTGTTTCAATGATTTTTTCATTCGTAGGAATAAAAAAAATAACTAATACAAGAAAAAGACCAGAAGAGGAAAAACAAACAAACAAACAAACAAACAAATGTAACCGTCAATTGTAGAGCAAAGAGCCATGTAAACGAACCAAAATTGTATGATATGAAGTCATCGGACTTTGACACAGAAGCAAATCAATATTTCTAGAAAGCCACGAAAAAATTGCAGCACCAACCTCAAATTGTTCTAAGTTTGTATATAGTCTCCCATCCAATTTCTTCCTCACAGTTCCAAAATCCATCGGGTGTTTAATGATATCATGATAATCTGGAAGCTGCGGCAAGAAAGTTTCTTTATCTCAATTCAAGTAACGGGAATTCAAATTCAAGCACTCAATTATAGTATAAGGCATTATAAAAAAAAAAATGCACCTCTTCTGGATCCACAGGCTCAGAGAATACCCCGTGTGTGTCCTTTCTGCAAGATGGTTGAACAGTACAAAACACAACCGATCAAATTCCCAACTAAAGAAAAGAAAAGAAAAGAAAAAAGAAAAGAAAAAAGATAGAAACAAACAAGAGACAAACTTTTGAAGTCTGTCAAGGATAAACAGCAAGAGCTTTTTGTCTGGCAAAGGTGTAGTGGGACCGGACTCCCCCTGTGAACCTGTCAACACATAATATAAAAATCGCCATTAATATTCCCCCACTACGCCCATTGCACCAGGATTTGAGAAATGATTTCACATACCCTCATTACCATGTTTACTGTCAGTCGCTTTCGGAACCTTTCCATCCTGCAAAATCATCCCATCATCAAATGCCAACAAAAATTAAACAAACCACAAAAAAAAATTTATTAAACATGTGCATGTGATTTTATGACAGAATAGTTTTTTTTTTTTTCCCAAAAGAGAATCGAAAATCAACCCCCAAAAGAAAAATTATTTAAAAAAAAAAAAAGCAGCAACCCATGAGAAGGTGCCAAGCTAGAGTACCTGTGTTGAAGGGTGGAAAAAAGGAACAGAGAGAGAGAGAGAGAGATTTGAAAAAGAAAATAAAAGAAAAGAATCCCGAGAATACTGAGAGTCAGAGATAAGACAAATTGAAGCTTTTCGACTTATCCGTGCATTTCTATGGATAAACGAAGGCTCGATCTAGTGTGCAACCAATAGGGAATACATAAATAGTGCCCCACAAAAAATTTCCCCAAAATAATTTAAATAAATATCATCAAAACCTAAACGGTCAAACACATCCACTGGTTCCCAATTAAAGAAAAAGGGGAAAAAAAAATATATCATATTTCGCGCGAAATCTCGAACAGAATTGAATTTCGTGTTTCCGGGAAGACCCCACACCACAAATCGCATCAGAAGGTTGGGGGGGAGAGAGATAAAATTGAAGAGATGAATGTTGATACGCACCGTTTCAATCTTGGGCCTCTTGTTGGTGGCATCGGGATCGCCGTGTGGGAAAGAATTGAATGGCGATAATGTTGGATGGTGACGGAGATGGGAATTCAAACCAACCAAGAGCTTGTGCTTCTTCTCTTTGCGCTCGTCTTCGTCGTCATCTTGTGGAACAGCGTGAGGATACGAATTGATTAAATTCGGGTTTTGTTGTTGTTGTTGTTGTTGATGATGTTGTTGTTGTTTTTTGAGAGATCGCTTTTGAAGATCCAAAAGAGATGGGCGTCCCTTCTTCTTCTTCTTCGTCATCGTTTCAGATACCTCGCCCATTGTTTCCTCCTCTTTTCTCGCTCCTCAAACAAACAGGTCCAAACTTCTTTCTATTCTTTTTTTTTTTTTTTTTTAATATATAAAAAAAATTGTCTATATTGTGGTCGATGCGTGCAACTCACGTGACCGCTCTGTTTGTGTCATTGCGCTGCGCTGCCACTCATCAGGGATTTCCGTTTCCCATCCAACCCATCCTTTTCTTTGAACACAAGGAAACCATGCTTCTAAAATCAGTTGCTTCCTTCTTGTTTAATATTTAATTTAAGGAAAGAGTGTTTGTGATCTTAAATGACAGAAAGTTATATTATTTTAAGAAAGATATAGATATAGAAAATTTAAATTTTAAATTAAAAAAAACTACTCATTTTCTCTCTCCTATGATTTCTGTTTTTCTGTGTCTATCTCTCTCCTAAAATGACATAACTTATATCATTTAAAATGAAAAACATCAAACTCTTAATTTAAATAATGCTTCACTATTCTTATTGCAAGTAACTTGTTTAAAGACAATGACAAATACAAGTATGATTGTTAACTAAATAAGAAAAAATTCCTTATTTTCCTATGCTTTTCTTAATCGCTTATTTTCTTATATTTTTTTATCCAAACTCATTCCTAACACTATTATAAACTTAACTAATCTGTTCATTTTATCTTTTTTTAAAGAATAAAATAAAATGAGAAAAAAATTTAAAAAAATAAGATTAGATATATTGAAAACTTACAATATTAACATAAAAGACAAAAAGTAAAAAAATAATACAAATATGTGCTAACCAAAAATAAGAAAATAACTTGAGGACAAAAAAAATAGAAGAAAAAAAATAAGACCAAAAAAGTTGAAAACTTAAAATAGTAAAAGAAAAAAATCAAAATAAAAAATAGACTGAAAATAAAAAAATTAGAATAAAAAAATAAAATTAAATATGTCTAAGTCAAAAAAGAAGAAAATGGACTAACACAATAAAATAGAAGAAAAAGTAAGACCAAATATATTAAAAACTTACTTGGGATGAAATATTATACCCACATTTTTTTTTGACACAATGGCAGGAATGAACACATAACCTAATACAAATTATTTAAACCTCTCACCATTAGATCAATCCTAATGGCTTATGCCTATTTTTTTTCATACTTATTATATTTACTCATCTTCAACATCGTTAAATCAGAATATAAACATTTTTTTCTCTTCTATTAATATTTTAATCTAACGGTGTTGAAAATAAGTACGTAGAGTAACCATAATAATCTATCCCAACTTACAAAACTAATTTTGTTCCTTCAATTTCTATTTTTTTCCCTTCATTTGACCTTAGATCTAGTTTTTAAAACAGGTAATTGGAAATGAAATAGTTTAGAAATACATTGTAGCAAGTCTAGGTTAAATATGTGCTGATATTGAAACATAAAGGTTCGCTACACTACAATGAGTCTGGTCAACCGATTAAACTGTCGTTGCATGTCTTAAAGCAATTAAGAGAAACATAATGCTAATAGGGGAAGTTACCGCATGGTCTACTTATATCCAAGATACTTAGATCAAATTCATCTCATTTTTATATTTGTCGAATTTAGGTGTTGATTAATTTGTGTTTTCTCTCATCATGTTCTACTGTTACTTTTATGTTACTAATCATTCATCTCATTTCATGGATTTCAAACTTCTTATGCAATTACTAAGAAAGCATTATTAGAATACCCGATTCAATTTTATCCGAGGGTATGATATCCCATCCTCTGTTTCTCTATTACTTTGTTTTCATACATACTTCCGCGTGAATAATAATCTGGTTTAAATTTGTATGAACACATTTGAGAACTATACAGCCATTAAGGACATTTATGTTGCATCCACACTTGTAATCCTGTATTTTACATATCCATACGATTGAGTCATTGGGTTTCTGAAATAGTGTAAAGTGCTTCGAATCATTGTTATTTGACTCGGACCTATTCTAAAAAAGTCGAGTCATTTCGAATTGTTTGTTGACACGGACAAAGTCAAAGTCAAGGAAAACCTCTGAAATTCTTTCCATATTGGACCTTGGACATATCATAGTTCTTAATCTCTTTAGAAAGAAGATCTTTTGTCTCATGGTAGCCTGCTCCGGTTCCCTTACGAAACTTTCGTTATTGGGTTAGCCATACACTTCACATGTTGGATACGGGACACGACACCTCTCACATATTAATTCTAAAAAATGTTAAATTTCAATATTTTATGACACGTTTTGATATTATATAATATTTTTAATTTATGTGGTGTATATTATATTTAGTATTCAATAATTTAACAAAAAAATAAAGTTAAACTTATAATACCCATCAATTTTGTAAAGAAACATAATATATCTCAAATGTTTATATTAAACTCAATAAAATTGTAATCGTACTCTAACGAATCTAATAGTTGGAACTCAAAATGTAACGCAACGTACTTTGAACCTTTTTTGAGTCTTTGCAACGAGTATTGAAGTGTCGGACACGACACGTCAGGATCTTTGAAGTGTCGATACTTCATAGAAGAACAATGAGCCAAGTCAACCAAGTGCATATTTGGATCCTCTTTTTTAAGTTAGAAGCTACTTATAAGCATAAGTTAGGCAAAACACGTTTTGAGAAAAGCTCTTATAATGAAAAATTCTTTTTTTTATAATGAAGAAAAATGCTAAAAACTAAAAGCTCTTTTTATGAGCTTTTTTTAAAGCTATTATCTGATTTTCTTGAATTGTGTGTTTTCTTTTAAAATGAAGAGTTACATGTGCTTTTAAACTAAAAATTTTATGTAATTATCAAATAATTTTTAATTTATTTTTTAAGGTTTTTTTTTTACTTTAACTTATAAGTAGTTTGTAGTTAAAAAAATAAATTATGCATGTGACTTCATATCTTCTCTTAGTTGGTAAGTTTTCACCTACAAACAACCAAAGAAACGACGTGATACTTTAGGACCAGCCCATTGCCAAATATTACCATATACTGTATTTCCACCATTGTTGTTTAGTTGAACTAGGGAAGCATAAGCGGATCTCATAGGAAAACCTCCGATAATTCGATCTAACCCCGAACGACCCTGTCATGATCATCACTATCATAATGGAGCATAAAAATATTTATTATAGCTTTGACCATAATGTGGGATCAAGATTTTTTTTTTTTTTAAAGCTTGAAAAATATCTTTCACCAATACAACACGATACTCGTTATTTTTTTCTTTCTATAACAAGTAGACAATACAACACTTTACGCAGAACAACATCTCCGTATGCAAATGACTGGTATTCCGTATTCGAATCTGTTATTATAGCGTTCCTAATTTTTTTGTGTTTGGTTAAAAGAAAGAGATACATAATAAAAATTATTTGAGGAAGAAAAAAAGTATTTTTTTTAATTTAAATTTTAAATATTTTAACTAAAATGATAATCATTCATAAGGATAAATATTTTTTTCAATTTTTTTATTCATTTTCATTTACAAAGAGGGATTTTTTTATTGAAGTTCTTATCCTCTTTACTCTTTTTTTTTTTATAAATAAAGGGCTAAAAGCCCAAAAAAACAAAGAAAATAAACCAAAAGGAAACTACCCAGGGAGTGCCACAGCACGATCCCTACCTACTGAAGCAAGATCACTAAAATATAAAGGATGAATACCAAAAGGAGGATGACTAAAAAAACAATGATCAGCTTGCTCAGAAGCATCCAACATAAAATTAGCTAACCAGTTTGTGCAAGTGTTGCCTTCCCTGAAGTTGTGTTGAAGACGAACTTGCCAAACCTTTCCAAGCCACGTCCGTATACGAAAGACCAAATGCACCTCACGGACTGCTACACCGCGATTGGTGAGCACAATAATTGCCATAAAGGAATCACTTTCTACAATAACATTCCTATAACCACTGCATCAAGCCCTCTATAAACCTCTCAAAATTCCCCACAATTCAGCTTTAAAGGAAGAACAAAAGTCCAACCTATAAGACAAACCATCCAGCCAAATACCTTGAGAATCTCTAATAACACCTCCGCAAGCTGCCAATCCAGGATTACCACGGGAAGCACCGTCAGTGTTCACCTTTACAAATCCTTCCTCAGGAAAATTCCAAGATACTCTAACAATGCTAAAATGAGGATTATATCTAATTGAATTTTGATGAGAAGCAGCCAGTTCAATATCTTTAACAAGGTTTTTAATCATTTGTACTCTACTTCCAATCAGAGGCACATCTCCACCATGATTCAGCATGTTCCTCCACCTCCAATTTTTTCAACAAAGCAACCATGAAAATAGAGAACCACCTGTCATGATCATTCTAAGAGGAATCAACACTGAAATTAAAAATAATCCAGTGATCTATTGAAGCATTATAAAATTCTGCACTATGAGTAGTTGGGATAAGACAATCCCAAACCATTTTAGCCCTATGACAATCTCTTAAAGAATGAATAATAGTTTATAGCTCTACACTTCCACAATTACATATTCCATCTCCACCATACCAAGAAGAAGTCATACTATTTGTTAACAGTTTCTGATGCAGCAACTTCCAAGCAAAAAAAATTATTCTTTGAGGTCCCTTCTAATACCAAAGCCTACTCCAGATCTTCTTAGTATCATCATCAATAACTTAATTGTTAGACAAAAAATCATATAACGCACCAACATAAATGGAATGGGATTTTTGAATCTCCCATATCCTTTTATCAGGTCCATCTTCAACCATGGGAGGTAGAACACTACGAATAATATCAACAATATTCAAAGGCAACCAACTATTCAGCTTAATAAAATCCCACTCACCTGATTGATTTACAAAATCAGCAACCTTTAAGATATCCAACTGCTGTGTGTCCTCATTGACAACAAAATCTTCCAATTTAATTGAGCTTGGCAACCAGTTGTCCTTCCAAAACCTTACCTCCTTACCATTGCCGAGTTCCCACACCATACTATCCTCTATCACATGCCACATCCTGCATACATTTTTTCGAAAACTAGAATCACCCTTTTTTTGCAACAAAAAGTGAATTTATCCTATCACCCGACTTGTATTT